TAAAGTTACCGTGGCAACCTGTGTCACTCTGACCCTCCAATAGAAACTATTTTTACTTTGACTATAATAAGAATTCCCAAAATGATCAGCGTTTTAAATAAGCTTGCCTGATTGGGAACAATGCAAAACATTTCTTTGTGATCTAAGCAGTTTATTTGAGCAATACCTTGTTTGCTTTGTTACAGAACGTGTCATAATCACATACTGTATGTGGTCTAATTCTATTCAAGGGGCTGCAAAATAAAATCGATGAATATTTGCACAGCCCAAAATCACAAAAGCAGTCGTCTCAAAGGACAAAATTGTTGATTTACCAACCATCTGTTATCTATTTATCTATATACAGACAACAGTTCAGAAAAAATGACAAATGATGCAGTGTCTCTGCAGTCACAGTGTGTTTTCACATATTGGCACATGCTGCGTCGACACAGCTTCACTTTGTTACAGTCTGTAATGTTGTCCATATTCTCTGTATTGTATGTGTATTGTATTGCTGTAATTTCCTTGTTCTTTGCATGTGACGGTGTCTGTGGAAAGGAATTTCCTTCAGGGGACAATAAAGGTCAGTTTCCCTAATCATCGCCAATTGATCAATGATTGTTAAGTGATTTTCCAATTTTTGTATGGTTATCTGTAGGTTGAAGCATTGGGACTTTCCTGGTTAAATAAACATAACATCAGGAAAATCACTGATTTGGACGGGGTCTTTCTTTGTGGAGCATGTGCTTTCTTTGTTGAGTAGGTTTCCTCCAGGTGCTCTGAAAGTACATGCACAATAGGTTTAAATACAATTCTATGAGCCTCCCGTATGGCGACTTTGCTCCTATCACTGTGCAGAGTGAAAAATGCCCACAACAATTCAAAAGTCTGTGCAAAGCGCTAAATACATTTAAAAATCACTACTACTTCTACTTTCAGAGCGTCCCTTATCATTTGACCTCCTTCTGCAGGATAAACTCTTTCATCACAAGAGGAAAAAAAAGAGAAATCTCTGAATCTCTGAAGGAGAAATATATTCCCATAGATGGACAGGCTGTAGATGAGTCCAGGACTAACACAAACATTTGTAGCTAGAGTTCAAGTGTGTTAACAGAGATGTTGTGGAGACACCTGGAATGTTGCACTGTATGGCGTTGAAGTTGTGCATATTTGAGCAAATAAATGAGCAGCAATTGGACTAAGAATTGATAATGACAGGACCAAAGTTTCCATTACTTTAGTCCTCTTAAATTAATTAAGTCCTACAAAAAGTTGAAAACAATTATGAGATCAAAGCTCGTACACTATATCCAGGTGTAGTATCTGACCATGTTCAAAGAGATCAGGGAGATTAGGGACACAATGGGAAATTCCAAACTCACATCCTCCAGAATCAACTCTTTAAAGATACGGCTTTGGCTCGTGCTGGTGCCCTGCCTCCCCACCTGCTGAATAAAGACCCCCACCCCCCATCGCTAACACTACAAAGACTTATTTGGAACCAATGGAGGCAGAAGCAGGTGCATGTGTCTCTGAACAAACAATCAGAACTCTCATGAACACTGTTCCAAGTGATGGACTTTTTTTTAGAGTTTTTAGAGTTACAAATAGGCTATATTAAAAGGTGGAGAACGTAACTTTTTTGTTTTATAAAAAATACATCTGCAGAAATTTAAATGTTATTTAACTTAATCATTTAAATCCAACACCTTATTTCAACGCAATGGAATGAGCCTTTCAACCAAAACAATGATTTTCCATTTCAATATATTTAAGGTACACTTTATTTATTCCCCGTAGGGCAATTTATCCTATGCATTTGGTCAGGAGTCTGGACTGGAGCTGTGCCTTGATATGTTGTCTGGTGTGCCATGGAAAGATTCCAATATCACATATTGGTCGAAATAATATGAAAAAAAATATTGCGAGAAGACTAGAAAGACTTTTTTACACTTGTTTGATTTTCTATATAATACACATTGATGAGAATGACTTTGAACTGGTGGTGTACCATGAGATAGTGACCTATTGTATGTGTTTTTAGCAGTAGAGCAAACTGTAGCACCCAGAGGAAACCTATACAGACACTCCAAAAAGTGAAAAGTGAAAGAAAAATAAGCGTGGATGATCTCCGCATTGATCACAATTGATAAAACATTTACTAGCATTGAATTTAACCATCTGAAACCCATGGACACTAGAATGTGGAAGTGGACACAACCTATTAGCAGCTGCCACAGAACAAAGCGCTGCATGAAGCCTCCTCTTGTCCTTCCCCAATCTTGACTAATGGCTTTTTTTTTTTTTTGCGGAGCGCACCGTCACGGCTCATTGGAGAAAATACACCCTCCATTTGCAGCTACCGTTTACTGAGCAGCCACAGTGAAGGCCGGCGTTCCATTCTCACTCTGAAAACCTGGCCATTGTGGAGGTACTCGGTGCTACAGAGCCTGGAGTGAGCCATAGGACATTGGTCCTACACATATCATTTCTGTCTAGATTTGATGCAGATGTTTTACTGTCCACTCAGGGATGATAAAAGTGAGGAATGTGATAACGTTTGGGAAAAGTATCAGTGATGGGTGACAGGAGTGGTTTCCATTTTGACCAGATCCTAAGCCCATGTCTATTAGATCCATATATGGTTTATATTTAGAGAAAATGTTCAGACTGGATTTTGACTGGATCTAATTATTGTCACTCCACCATAGCTTTGATTGTTCTAAGTAGTAGTAGGTAATATTTTTCACACCACCAGGCTTTGTTTAATTGTATGGCACAATTCATTCATAAGGAAATTCAAAGTGCTCAACAAAACAAGATCGAGACAGTCACACAAGGAAATAGAGCCCTTTATTGTCATAAAAACGTGTTTTCTAATTTCAAAATATCACAACAACAGAAACTTTAATGATAAAAGTTTCCATCCCTCAGTTCTCAAAAAAACCTCTGACAGCTTGCAGTGTTTTGAGGTTTTTTTAATCCTCTGTCTGTTCTTCTTGACAAAACCATAAATTGCTTTACTCAACCACTAACAATGAGAAGGAAAAAATAAGGTTTTTGTGCGATCATTGTGGATCTCCAAAATATGGGCAAAAATAAATCTGAATTTCTGCATGGGGGTGTAAACTTTCAAGCCCAACTGTATTGACAATGTGGAAATGTTAAAAGTCTAAATTTTTCACGCTCAACCTATGGCTAGAAACCAGTTTTTGTTTGTTTGTCCAATCATTAATATCCATTCAAATAACACATCTGTTCAAACAAGTCCATGTTTTGCTCGTAAAACCACAATCCTCGTTGCTGCAGACAGATAACAGAAGTGAACAAACCAAACACGTCCCAGTCTCTGTTTTTTTGTCTCCTCGTTTTTCCTCAAATGTTGTTGTGCTCCGCAGTGGGCCAACTGGGAATGCTGGGAAATTGGGCACCATCCGAGGTTTTCCAAACTCAAACGCACCACCTTCAGAAGCCCGAGAAGGAGCCCCACGTGGAGCTGGTTGTAATCAAGTTTCCATTAATTAAAGCATTGTGTGTGTGTGTTTTTTTTCTACTTTCAAGCCAAGATCAACAGCTCCCCACACTTATGTGTTCTATCACAGTGAAGGTGATTACAATGTGCTCTTTTAATCAAGAGGAATCACATGCCTTGTGGTTTTCTCATTGTTGCCACCTGTGGATACAAATATTGCGAACAAATAAAACTGAAATGGAAAATGACAGATCTTCATTATTCATATTTCAAGATGTTACATACTGAACTGTTAGCTGTGCACAATGGATTGTTTAAACCTACAGATTCTTGATCTAGTCCATGTTTAGCTCTTAGATTTCCAGTTTTCCCCCAATTTCCATGTGGTCTTAATGCGCAAGTGTGAATCTGTGCGTCACTTACCTCATTCTGGGGCTGATTCACTACAGAGGAACACCTATGTGGGATTGTCACATGAGGTTTTCATACAAAAATCTTTCTGATCATATTGTCCGTGCAATGATTCCTTATGGTTCTCATAAAACAAAGTGCCAGACAAAATGTGCATGCCATAATATTCCATTATTTTTGATAGATGGCGTGGAAAGGACGTTTTTGTGTGTGAACAAAACCATACCTGCATGTGAAAAGCCAGATCCCATCAGACCTATAAAGCTAAGCAGGACAAGGCCTGGTTAGTGCTATGATGGGAGAACTCTGGGAACTCCAGGTGCCACAGTGGGGCCGCTGTAAAGTGCCAAACTGCTGTTGTGTTCTTAGGCAAGACACTTCACCCACATTGCAGAAAGAGTCTGGTGTGTGTGTAAATGCTTGGGGGTGGTCAGAGGTCAGCCCCAACCAGTATGGGGTCACATACTGGTTGCCTCGCTTCTTACAGTGTTCCTCAGGGCAGCTGTGGCCACAGTAGTAAGTAAGTAAGTAAGTAATGTTTATTTATATAGCGCATTTTACAGACCAAGGTCACCCAAAGACCTTTACAATGTTGAGAGTTCAGATATTGTTCCAACCATTCCACACACGGTGATGACAGAAGCGAGTCGCCGAACAAACCGAAACGCCGACATTTACACATACTTTAATTTTATCAATAGTATGTGTTAAAGCTATAGCCTTTTGAGAAGCGAAGTACCCTCTGGTGAAAGTACAAAGCAATGGTAATATAGAACACTTTGAAAGCTCTCCCTCAGTGAGAACAACTCAGTTTAAAATGATTTATCTGAACAAATTCCTCTCACAGCCTGAAATCTCTTTGAACTAGCTATTTCCGACAGGATCTAAAATTACCTAACTTTCTCCTCAATATTTCTTACTAAATGTAGACGTTGTTCCAGCATTTCTAGTCAAGATTCAATTTGGCCATGGCTCATTATCCTTAAAGCCTCCAGATAAAACAGTGCTCCCACTATATCCATCATCATCAGGCCTCTGCGCGGTAAATGACCCTTCTTTCTATTTGTAAAGCGTCGTTCAAAGTTGCTTTTAAGGAACGCTGATGGAATACGTTGGAATGCATTGAATCTTCAGATCACAGAGTCACCCATGAAGCAGCAGCGTGATGAATGAGGCCGGATCCGGGGAGGTGTGATGCGATCAAAGGCGTGGCAAGGTCTGGAGCTGCTTTACGAGCGTGCCGGACAGACGACCAGCTCAGCGACGTGTGCGGACGACCAATCGTTGACGAGAGGTTTAACGCAGGCCCTGACCCAGCACAAGAGCAGATGTTGAGGTCCCTCGAGTTTGGCAATATTGAGTCACTAGGCCTCAGTAAATACCTGCAAAATCAATATTCTGTGGTAGATTTCTCCTAAATGTTAGACATGTTATTAATATAGAACTTTACGCACACAGAAGAATAACACTAAGAGCTTTATTGTTCAATTCAGTTTCAAAGAGCAGCTGTGACGCGTGGCTAATTCTTCACAGTTCCTGTCTACGGCTTGTTAAGCCCAAAAAATGCACACGTATCCTGGAGTTGTATCGGATCAACACCGGTTGTATTCAGACCAGAATCAACTTGGACCAGAGTTTGTTTGGAAGCGGACCGAGACCTAAAAAAGGAGGTCTCGGTCCGGTTCTTTAGTCCGGACCAGGATTTGTTTGTGTGTATTCAGACCTGCATAAAAGGTTTGGATCAGAGTTCCAAACGAATCCTGGTCCGTTTAAAGTAAACCAAATGTGCAGGTCTGAATACACCCTTAAACATTCTCTGCCTGACCCCTGCTCTCCCTACCATCTTCAATGTTCAAGCGTAGAATTTACTTTTCCACTACACACATGTGCAATGCTCTTGTGAAAGTCCAGAACGAATGCTTGTCTCCCAACATGGATGCATCCAAAGGGTTTGTGTTACTGCTCCGACAGATCAAGGTTTATTCCTCCCTCGTAAATTCTACCCAGTGTCGTAAAGCTTTTCCAAAACAAAATATGAAAGATCTGGGGGCTTTGGTCAGACAGTGCTTGGACCTTTGAACTTGTGGGGATGGAAAGGCTTTTGATTTCACTGTAAAGTTAAGCAGAGTTGGACAGACTTTAAAAGAGCGAAACTTTATTTTTGGATTCTGTCTTTACGAGACTCTGTCAGTCCGGCATGAGATGTGATTTATTTGAGATTCACTGCATAGACTAATATTCCAGTCAATGAGACAAATACTGTAAATATAACTTTTCTGTTCTGTAAATTAATCTAGTTCAAAGGTCTCCAACCTATATCCAATAGCAAAAATGTAAAACATATATATTCTTGTAGAAAATAAAATGCACACTGCTCACATACACACATGTGCAGGACAACAAAAACATGAACTTAAGATTTTTTTAATTTTGACCAGATTGAACACAGTGTACACTGAGGACAGCTCCAACTCTGCTGTGTTAACAAAAGTCACAGCCCACTGTTGGCGAGACAGCGAGTGACGGGGATTCCACCTTGTGACAATTCTTTAAAAAATAATTTACCTGAACCCTTTAGAAGAGCAAGAACCACAGGAGGATGGACAGAGCACCAGATGTTTCAAAAGTTAATTTGTATTTGTTGGTGTGTACAAGACTAATGGGTGTACATCATTACCTCTATGTCATTGTGCTCAGCATCGATCACGCAGATCATTACGATCACTCTCCTGCTGTTAATGCTTGGCTGCTTATGGACAGTGGACCACCCAATCTGTTAATGCAGCCGTTAGCAGCTAATGCAAGATGTGAAAGACACTAGAAGCCCGGCATAACACCAGGCAAGAGAGGGGTGAGGAACGTAATGCAACTTTAGATTTTTCCGGAGGATCCCACTGTTCCTCCGGAAAAATTCTCCTGAATATCTTTTGGGAAATTGTAAAGACTTTTGTAGAAAGTCAGGTGAGCAGGCAAAAGTAAACATGGTTTGAGTCGCAACATGAGTAAATGTGCTCGGTGAACCTATAGGTTAGGTATTACTGATTAACCTACAGGATATCGCCATGGTCCTACACAAACATTTACATCTTTTAGATGACCAGACATTTGTAAAAAACATCACTTTTTAAAGTAAATCATTTTAAAAAACATTGTGGTGGAAAATCAGTTCAGCGAGACTTTCAGTGTCATGCCGACGACACAGTTCAAGTGTGGGGTTAGGATTTGGGTCAAGGTCAGTCAATAAATCACTCCCTAAAAAACTAAATTATTGTATGTCCCCTTTAAATATGTGCGTGTAACAATATCAAAAAGTTGAAATTTTTTAGTTTTACGACTTGTTTCTACACCACAGAACCTCATTCAAAGGCTTTACCTTGCGTCAGTCCAATCTGTTTCTCTGCGGTGTTTCCCTGCGGTGTCATCTCAGAGCAGGAAGGATGGAGTGGTCCTTTTCCTCCTCACGACTCTAAATCACACAGACTACGGGGGGCAGAGAGGGACATAAAACACCCCCATTCGACACGCGTGGAAGAGCACGCAGGGAGGCAGGTCGGCTGGAAGTCCACATGCAGACCACTGTAACCACAAAGACTGAACTAATCCTGGAGACATGTGCAGCGCACTGTGAGAGGTGTGTTGGTAATCTTTCAAAAGTGGCATCATCCAAGTAAATGGACAAAGGTCCTTCCAACATCAAGGACCTTGATCAATCAATCAGCTATACCCATTTGTACAAAGTTGAAAAAAGGTTACGCAAAGGTGTACCCATTGTCACTGTCTTAAAATCAGAACCAATGCATGTTTAAACAATATGGACTTCTTCCTGACACATTCCAAGCATTCTCATTTTTATGATGATTTTAAAAGCGCTAATCTGTTGACACAACCGTTTTTCAGAGAATTAGATGAAGAATGCATACAGTATCTCCTTGATATGTGAAGCGGTTTTGAACATAGCTTTTATGGGGTAGTATGCTTTTGCTCAGCATCATGAGAAGTCTGTCTACTTCTGTGGTGGAAAATCTGGATGCTACGGTACTTAACAACTATCGTCCCATCTCAAATCTGCAGATTAATTTATGGGGAAAGTCCTTGAAAAAGTTGTCTACCTACAGCTTACTAGATTTCTTCTAATTAACAACTCATTTGATATGTTTCAGTCCGGCTTTAGACCCCACCACAGCACTGAGACTGCTCTTGTCAAGGTTACAAACGATATCCGGCTGAACACTGACGCAGGCAAAGTCTCAATCTTAATCTTGTTAGATCTGAGTGCTGCCTTTGACACTGTCGACCATGAGATCCTCTTACAGAGACTAGAGGACAGGGTTGGAGTCGCTGGCACCGCCCTAAGTTGGTTTAGGTCTTACCTTGAAGACAGGAAGTACTTTGTGGAGATTGGAGACTGTGTCTCAGATCATATGGCCCTGACCTGTGGAGTCCCACAGGGGTCGATCCTGGAACCTCTTCTGTTCAATCTTTACATGTTGCCGTTAGGTCAGTTAATACGCAGAAACAAAGTGTCCTATCATAACTATGCAGACGACACTCAGATCTATGTCTCACTGACTGCAGGAGAACATGGACCAGTGGACTCACTCCTTCACTGTATCCAACAGATCAGTGAGTGGATGCAAAACAACTTCCTTCAGCTAAACGCAGACAAAACTGAAATGATTGTCTTTGGTCCCCAGAAACAAAGAGAGAGCGTCATCTGTCACCTACAGTCTCTCTCCCTAAAACCTTCAAACAAGGTCAGAAATCTAGGGGTAATACTGGACTCAGACTTAAATTTTAATAGCCACATCAAATCAGTAACATCAGCAGCTTTTTACCATCTAAAAAACATTGCCAGGATCAAAAACATAGTGTCTAAAGCAGACTTGGAGATTCTTATCCATGCATTTGTCTCCAGTAGGTCAGACTACTGCAATGGCCTGCTTACAGGTCTGTCCAAACAGGCTGTAAAACAGCTGCAGTACATTCAAAATGCAGCAGCTCGAGTCCTGACTAGAACCAGGAAGTACGACCACATTAGTCCGGTCCTCAGGTCTCTGCACTGGCTTCCTGTGGCTCAGAGAATAGACTTTAAAACAGCTCTGCTTGTGTACAAATCTCTCCATGGCCTCGCACCAAACTATATTAGTGACATGTTAGTCCCATATGAACCAGCCCGGACTCTGAGGAGCACAGGGACTGGACTCCTGTTAGTGCCCAGAGTCAGAACTAAACATGGGGAGGCTGCTTTTCAGATTCATGCTGCTAAAATCTGGAACAGTCTTCCTGAAGATGTGAGACAGGCCTCCTCTCTGACAATGTTTAAAACCAGGTTAAAGACGGTTCTGTTTAGCTGTGCATACAACTGAGGGATTTTATATTTTTATCTTTTTTTTTTAATGTACTGTGATTATTTATGATTTTAATGCTTTCTTGTTCTGTTCAGCACTTTGAGTTGCCTTGTGTATGAATTGTGCTATACAAATAAACTTGCCTTGCCTTGCCTTGCCTGTATACGTCAAACAATTTGTACACAATTGTTATAGTCGTGACTTTTGACGTCAATCTATGCAAAAAGCAGTTCAAATCATTGTTCAAAAAATCTCAAGTGTTTTAAATGTTGAGTTGGGGTGGCGGGGGCTTTTCTGTAAATGGAGATTGCATGTACTCTTCTTGTCTGCATCAGTTTCCTCTGGGTGCTCCGGTTTCCCACTAACATCTAGGAGTATGATTTGTGCCAAGAAATATAAGTAGACTGAATTTAGATTATCTTTTTAACATTAACCCAAATGTTTACAGTTAAAAAGTGTTTGTATTGTGCCATTAAGTTACAAATACTTCAAAATTAAAAGCTATAATACACAATCAATTACATTTTCCATAATAATAATAATAATAAATAATGGTTACCATGTATATAACCAATTCTCTCATGCTGGTGTTTGTCACTAAAATTATTATTGCAGTTTTGGTTTCATGAATCATTTACAGCAGGCATTACTTCATCAAACTCTCATCAGCCGTTACACATCTGAGCCGCTTGGATAAACAGTCCCATCTGCTCCCATTGAAAGGGCCAGAGTGTTTTGCTGGCGAGTGGAGAGTCCGTCTGGTTCAAATCACGTTTGAAAACACGCGCTCACTTTCCTGGACTCTTATCACGTCTGCCCTGAGCAACTGTTTTCACTGCAGATAATTTCACATTACCGTCACTCCTACTGGCGGCGAAATACTTGAGAATTAAACGGTAATGTAGCTAAAGCGGAAATTCAGACAGGAAGACTGCAACAGCGGTTCTCTGTGGTCACTTTCTCACCTGCCACATCAATCCTCCCTACTCTACACACTACACACTACTGCTACTATACTCTACTCATGAAGAACACCTGTGCTCATCACCATCACTTCATCCATGCATTGAAACAGAGCCTCTCAGTCTTCGCATCAAGCATCTGTTCGTTTAGCGGCTCACCTCCTCCCCATTACCACCTCATCAGTGGAGAAATCATCAGCAAAGTTAAAAGTTATATCTATTGTCCCACTAGGGGAAATTGGTTTTGCAGCAAGCAATCATATAAAAACAGGCAGACACAGTAAAATCTTTAACATTGCAAAGGGGATGTCGCAAAGCTAGTTTCAGTTCAAATGTTCTGTAAAGTGCACTAGTTTGTATAAAGTGCTATGTGTTGTTAAGGTGCTTCACAGCTGTTCCCAATCTTTTTTTGTTCTGCATCCAGGGGCCCTATAGTGCGCCTCTGAGGGTAAGAGTTCAAACTGCGCCCTCCAACTGTGAACCAATGATGGAATTGGCCTTTCTGCGCCCCTGCCCACTGCACAGGTCGATCATGTTGTTGGTTCAGCTTCCACCACCAGGTTCTACCCCTGGGGGTTCGCACTCTCATAATTTCTATTAAATGCCCTCCTAGCAGGGACAGTGCCCAGAGTCAGAACTAAACATGGGGAGGCTGCATTTCAGATTCATCCTGCTAAAATCTGGAACAATCTTCCTGAAAATGTGAGACAGGCCTCTTCTCTGACAATGTTTAAATCCAAGTTAAAAACAGCTCTGTTAAGCTGTGCATACAACCGAGGGATTTGTATCCTTTTTATTGTACAGGTGGTGTAAACTTGCCTTGCATACATCATGCAATATTTCTGCTGGGGTCTCTTTGCCAAACCGTATGATTTAACGTATCAAAAGCTAAAAAATGCCTTGTACCACCTCATGTCAAGTGTATGTCAAGTCATATTTGTTCATCATTCTATTGCATCTTTGTCTTTACAGATTGAATTATGTAGAATCTACAAGATAAGGTTATTTTCAGTTTGGGATTTTTAATAATGATTACCATTAGACATTGCTGTAGGATAAGAATACTACTTTCTGAATCTCTGAAATCATCGTCTTCGCAGGTTCTCGAGCAAAACCAGTGTCCGGGGCCCACATCACATGACACCGCAGGACACAGTGTCTCATAGTCCTGCTGTGACATGTGCTGTGACAGCTGTTAATGAGAACTTCCTACCATCACAACCCACTAGCTCATAATCACACATTATCCTGTTGGCAAGGTAATAAGAAATAATAAAACATTTACCTCTTGCTGCTTAAAAAACACTTACATCTCTGTAAGGCCAATAGCAATAAAAGTACATGAAAAAAAAAACTCTGGATTAAAGTTGTGAAAAACCACTCCGCCTCTAATATGATTTCTCTTTCAGCTGTTCCAACCATTTCTCTTCTCACCAAAAGAGAAACCTAAGTTCTTTTTACATAATGGACACTGAGAAATATCACCGCAAACCCACTGTAACAGAATCTGATTTAGTCCCAGATTCGGTGGCCTCCGCTTGATTGATTTGGCAAAATTCAGACGCGTCACTGCATAACGCCGAGTCATATTTCACATGGATTTGTTACTTTTCGGACCCATTGAGCAGCAGCTGGGAAACAGATCGAGTGGTGGGCCGTGGAGATTACAGACACCAAAGACCAAAGTGTTGTGGATAAAACGCACCTTTGTACTGAAGATGAATGGCCTCGGTGAAACCCGCGGCACACGCAGCGCTGGACCTAAAGCCGCTCATGAATTGTCAGTTACTGTAAATGATCCTATGATTCAGGACCGCCAGATTTACGCCTTCGCAGGAACAGGAGACACGATGAAAGACATTCACATAAGGCATTGGTTTTGTAATTAATTCAACAGTTCTTTGATGGGTGGGATATAACAGTTTTTTATATATTGGATTGATATTGTGTGTTCTGTGTGTATGCATTTACACACAATTCAATTGGGAAGCGGCTTCAAAAACTATAGTAGTGGGTGCCCTACACTCTTATAAGTATTTCCTGTCTGAGGTAAGGGATTACATAGAAAATACTCCTTTTTCACATTGAGCCAGAAATGAAAGGTGATGAAGA